GATTATCTTCACTATTATCCACTAGCAAATCTATTATCCAGTAGCAAATGGGAAAAACCTACAATTATTTTTGCTGATTGAACCAGGGTGATGTCAACCGCAGTACTTTAATGCAGACAACCTGTATGGAAACACGTTTTTGCTGTTGGCACAGAAATTACACACTTCACTTTTAAGAGCTAAATCTGTGACACAAATTCATGCTGTACATTAGGAGATTTATATTAAGATTTTCTGGTTGTCAACCTTTGTAAGAAGGGGCACATGTACAGTACAAAGCTGAAAAACATGTTCATGGCATTAGAACGAAACATTCAGAGTTGAGTTGCTCAGTACAGGTTGGCAACTGTCAAAGGACACACATATGAACTGACATGCACACACAAACATGTACACACTCTCCTCAAACCCGTCTGTTGCTCTTTAAAGAGTGTGTCACTGCCCCAAGTGGTGAGGGGGAGTGTGGTCATCTGTCTGATCTTGCCTCATGTATGTATGTATGTGTGTGTGTGTGTGTGTGTGTCTGTGTGTGTGTGTCTTCCCCCACGGCCCCCTGTAGCGCTGAAAATGTGCAGTGATGAGTTAGCTGGTGGGCTAAGATTATTGTGCACAGTACGTAGCCTCAGGCTCAGCTGCATTGTTTCTGCAAAGCACACTAAGAACAAAGGGCACTTATGACGTGGGGTGACCGACTACTGTGTGTTTGGTTCTGCAGGCTGTGTGTCCCGTCCTCCATGGTCCCCTGCCCTAACCTTTGATTCTCAGTGATGAGTGTGCTTGTGGGTACAGATGAAAGTGTGTGTTCTTGTGTGTGTATATGATATTCAGTGTTTGTCATGTGATATTTCATAAAGCCCACTGAGAGAAAGAGTAGGAGGAGGTCAAGAATTGTAAAAAGTTCAATACAAGTACATATCTGCACACGCACGTGAACGCATTCTGGGAGAGCGGACTGTGTGCGTGTGTGTGTACAGATTCAACATGAGGCTACGATTAGGAGATAAATAATACCATTAGCTCAGTATAAAAAAGAGGTCAATAAGAAAGATACAAAAACAAATGTGTTGTTTGCATGTGTCATGACATGGGTACACAGGTGTGTGTGTACAGATGGGCTGCATCATGCTGAAGTTGGAGCGCACTGACCTCAGTCACGGTCAGGGAACAGAACTCTGACTCAGTGCAGCCCACACACGTGACACTTGCACACAACTGCTTATATGAATTTCTAATACTTCTTTTACACAACCATTTGCACATGCAGCAGCTTTTTGTCTACTAAAACTGTGGCTCTGGAAATTAAAAACATGCATTGCCATTGAGTCCCTATAGTAAAAATATTCTGAAGGAATTTCAGGTTAATAGGATCAAATTTGATATCTAGAATCCTCCTGGATATGATGTTTAAAAGAAATCACAATGGGAGCTATAGGGGTTTTAAAATTCTAAAAGAATTTTGTTAGAATTAGCTACACCTGATTGAGTTTACAAGTAATTTTTAGGAGGAGGTTGATCCTCTTTCCAACTCAGTGATTCTGTTTAAAAAAAAAAAAAATCTGCCATTTGCACATGCAGCAGCTTTTTGTCTACTAAAACTGTGGCTCTGCAAATTAAAAACATGCATTGCCATTGAGTCCCTATAGTAAAAATATTCTGAAGGAATTTCAGGTTAATAGGATCAAATTTGATTTCTAGAATCCTCCTGGATATGATGTTTAAAAGAAATCACAATGGGAGCTATAGGGGTTTTAAAATTCTAAAATTCTTTTGTTAGAATTAGCTACACCTGATTGAGTTTACAAGTAATTTTTAGGAGGAGGTTGATCCTCTTTCCAACTCAGTGATTCTGTTTAAAAAAAAAAAAAATCTGCTATGTTGGTGTTATATCTTTCACTTGGATGTTATAAGTTGCACTGAGTAAATACAGCTGGATAAAACAAAAACTGTGTCCGTCTTCATTTCAGGCTACAAAGCAACAAAATGTGATTATTTTAAAGGGGGTGATTCTTTTGTATACCCACTGTATGTTAAGCCTATAAAGCCTACTACAGTATAACTGTATATTATTTGATACACAAAACTGAAAACTGAAAAACCTGTTGTACGCAATCTTCTAAAAGCAATCTTAAAAAGACATTATTGGAAGATATAGTGACAACTGATATTGATATGCATTTTATGTAAATACAGGGTCCCACTTTATATTAAGTGGCCTTAACTACCATGTACTTAAATCAAAAAATAAGTACAATATACTCATTGTGTTAATATTGTATTGCAAAACACTTTTGCTGCTATTGAGGTGGGATACGGGTAAGGTTAGGGACAGATTTGGTGGTATGGGTAGGTTTAAGGGTGGGTTAAGGTGTAAGGGATGGGTCAAGAGTGTAATTATAAATGTAATTACAGAAGTTAATTACATGCAGATATTTTTCAAATATAAGTACAATGTAAAAACA